CATTACATTGCTAAATCACAAAATAGTATTTGTCACTTAGCCGTAAAACCCCCTTACCTTTTTATTTGGGAATATTTAAAATAAAGAATTAAACAAGTCTGCCCGAAATGCCTAGCCCTGCTAGGGGTTCTGTGGTACTCTGTAATCTTATTTTAAATACGTAAACCACACAACAACCCAAAATTTTGTAAATTCAACATTGTAATCTTTATGAGAAAAACTTTGAATTTAATGAATAGAAATCCCTTGTTTGTCTGCATTTCGGGCAAATTAGGTCGTGTCCCGGGATGCGACCCAACCAGCGACAAACACCCCCGTACCCATTTTACTGATGGGGAAAAGACAACAGGGAAAGAAAAAACGTCCAATGTTTCTTTGGTGGGAAACCACCCCGGCCCCTTTCCCTGTGAAGCGAGCGTTGACCAAGACACAGGAACCTCCCTCGAGGGGTTAGAATTATTGAAAGGGTTACAAAATAAATCATTTCATTCCGGTGAAAACGGAAGGTTTGAATCACTGTGTGACGGTGGCTGTGGCTCAAAAGGGACGTTCTCCGCTATAAAGGAACTAGAGTCGTTCCTCATGAGTGTCGCTGAAACATTAAATTTAAAAACCCCTCGGAAGTTGCATTGTGAAATTATCAGCATGGGGAAAAGTTGAAGCTACTCAGATGTGACGCATGAAAAGCATTACTTAACTTTTGTTACCCCTCAAGGAAGGCTCCTTGACGCTGGTGAGGGGCTCTTGATCTAGGGAATTGGATCTGTGCTCCAGTTCCCTGAATTAAGCCTGAATGCCTTCCATCCCCCCATAGGCGCTGTATAATCCTACGGGTTTAGTGCTTCCCCTTGATTATAATAATAATAATAATAATAATAATTAACTTTTGTTTTTAAATTTCTTCCAAAAAAGCAAACTGGGACGTACACTGGCCAAAGTTAGTCCAAACTTTTTTCTAAATAAGACTGATCAGTAAGTAAAGTAAACAAGAAGTTATAGGCACATAAAAGTACATTATGTGGATTAATCTTACGATAACGAATTAAACTCAAACACTTATTTTTGATCTAAAAAGACATTCTCCAAAAATTTCTCAAAAACCAGTTTGACTTAAAAAATGGTAAATAATAACGGCCTAACATCAAGAGATTGTTTCATTTGAAAAAAAAAAAACCAAAAAAAAAAAAAACAAGCACTTTAAAGTGTAAGGCTGACTAGAAGATGCATTTTAGTTATTGCCGAGAGTTCAACAAACCTTCCACCTACACAGCCTAAACCCATGACACGTTCCATCCAATTTATCAGATGCTTCAGTAATTGAACTTTGATGCTGCTCACAATTGTCATATTTTAATCGAAGGAAAGCGATAAACCCGTAGGGGTCAAGTAATAATAAATAATAATAATAATAATAATAATAATAATAATATTAATAATATTATTATTATTATTATTATTATTATTATTATTATTATTATTATTATTATAATCACGAGGGAACGCTAAAGCCGTAGGATTATAGAGCGCATGTCGAGGGGATGGAAGGTATTCAGGCTCAGTTCAGGGAACTGGAGCACAGAACGGAAGACATGTAAATTCGATAAAAGCAAAGGCGATGAATACGGTTACTTTGATCAAGAGTTCCTCATCAGCATCAAGGAAGAACTAATGATATAAATAAACATGGGGAGCGCTAAACCCGTAGGATTATACAGCGTCTGTGGGGGGGATGGAAGATATTCAGGCTCAATTCAGTGAACCGGAACACAGATCCAATTTCCTAGATCAAGAGCCCCTCACCAGCATCAAGGAACCTCCCTTGAGGGGAGTAAAAGAATACAATAACATTTCAAAATTAAAGATTGCAAAATGGCTCCAGAAGACTCCATTAAATATATCAACCTTCTGGGTAGGATACACGAGTTTTGAAATATTAAAGCTGATCAGAGGAGTTTGTCTCAAGTTACCACGTGAAAACTAAATATGGAAATGGCCTACTTAGCATTGTGTATATGCCACCTACACATGCAAATATTATAATTATAATCAAAAGGAAGGGCTAAACACATGCAAATAGTCCCATGAATCTTGCCCAATATACATTTCACCAGCGCTGAAAATTTGAAGCTGATTGATTAAGACCTTCTCGAGTAATAAACGATAATTTGTGAGTGTAAATATATTGCTGAGAATCTTGCGATAATAGGAAAGCTTCCTTTCATTAAACTTATACACACCAAAGTTTAATATCTTTATTATGCGCCTCATATCCATCCTATATAAATGTGAATTTTCACTTTTTTTTTCCCAGCGAAGAAGAAAACACTTTTACTTGTCACTCATTCAGTCATTGTCAACCCAGAAGCATGCTGACATTCCAGATCAGATGACTCCCCAAACTGCAGCATCTCCACCCTTCCTTCAGAGTGCAGGCTCTGTACCTCCTCCTCCAGGACTCAAGCACAGGAAACCAGTTTTCCTGGATCCCTTCATAAATCTTACCCTGCTCACATTCCAACAGCACGTCAAATCATAAAAAAAAACACTTGCCTCCATTCACTTAGATGCTCACACAAACCTGTTGGATGTCCAAGCCCTAGCACTCGAAACCTTCCTTACCCCTTTCCTCCATCCTTTCCTAGGGTGACCCCTACTCCCTACATCCCTCCACCCCAGATATACGCCCTCCTAGTTACCCTATTTTTCTATATCTTCTCTAAATACCCAAACCACATCGACTTCTCAGCCCTCTGATTAATACTTTTGGTGACCCCACACCTCTGAATTCTTTACAAAATAGTCACAGCCTATCATAGATACCTTATGTCAGGCTAACCTCTCCTGGTTCCTTCATTGCACAGGTAACTGTTGTGACTGTTGCCTAGTTTCATATAAATGCAACTTGTGTCTTTATAACACAACATACTTAACTCATTATGCATGCATGTTTGCATGTGTGTACACTCACCTATGTGTAGTTGCAGGAGTCAATTCACAGCTCCTGGCCCCACCTCTGCTAGTGTTTGAGAGGGAGGAGAGAAGCATTTACTTATCCAAGAGAAGAAATGCCAGCTGCTCTAAGCTACATCAATCACCAGCTAAGAGCTATATCAGCCTGGGGAAACCAATGGCAGGTAACATTTGCTCCTGAAAAAACACAAATGATGATGGTCTCTAGGCACCATGATGATAATGTCGGAGCAGTAGTAAGTATGAATGGGAGTGTTGGCACCCGGGGACAAAGTTGATATCCTTGGGGTGAAATTTGACTCCAAACAGACCATGAAGAACCACATTGTAAATCTTGCAAACAAGGCGGCCAAGAAGCTTATAGCACTTTGACGTATCTTGCATCTGCTCGACAGTAGGGGTTGCAAGATTCTTTGAGGCACAAGTATGCTCACATCTTAAGTATACTCCACTTTCTTGGATTGCCTGCCCCCTATCTCATCTGCAACTGCTTGACAGTGTAGAAAACAGAGCAAGATGCCTCATCTCTTGTCTGGACCCATCCTGGGTAGATCTGTCATTTCAGCAGAGCCTTCAACACTGGAGGAATGTTTGTGGCCTTACTGTTATGTACAAGGCCAATATCATCAAAGTACCACACCTGGCTCCACTCTGAGGACAGCGAGAAGTGAGCTTTTACACAAGACGGGCAGCAAGCAGCAATTTCAATTTGGCTGTACGCTTCTCCAGAACATCACTTCATCTGAGATCATTTATTCCCAGGATGACTCGAGTCTGGAACATGTTCGTACAGCATAATACCAATGAAATAAAGTTGGTTGATCAAATGAAACTGCTGGCTCACAGATGGCTCGAACTTCATCCTGCTCGCTACTTATATGTCTCATAACAGATAAAAAGGTTTTCAAATCAGCTAATGTAGGTAACAGCTCTTAGCTTGTAAATAAAGTTAGAACCCTTACCTTAACTTTGTCATACCCTGTGTAAAAGAGAGAGAGAGAGAGAGAGAGAGAGAGAGATATTCTTTATGAGGCACAAGTACTCTTCCCTTTAAGTATGCTCCAATTTTTTGGATTCCCTGCCCCCTCCCCTTCCCCTTCTCATCTGTGACTTGACAAAATAGAGAACAGAGCCTTCAGCACTGGAGGGATGTGGGTGGCCTCACTGTTTTGTATAAGGCCAATATTATCAAGGTATCACACTCGGCTCCACTTTGCAGACAGCAAAAAAAGCTTCTACGTGACAAGATGGGCAGCAAACAGCAACTACACTTTTGCTACACCCTTCAAGAACATCACTTCATCTGAGATTATTTATTCTTAGGATGATTGGAGTCTGGAATATGTTTATACAGCATGACATCAACAAAATAGTCAGATGACCAAATGAAATTGTTGGCCCCAACTTCATCCTGTTCACTATTTGTGTCTTTTAACAATGAAAAGGCTTGAAAATAAGCTGATATAGGTAACAGCTCTTAGCTCATAAATAGATAGAAACCCTTAACTTAACCTTGTATTATTATAATCATGTGGAAGCGCTAAACCCGTAGAATTATACAGCGCTGGGGGGGGGGGCAGAATGGAAGGTATTCAGGCTTAATTTAGGGAACTGGAGCACAGATCCAATTCCCTAGATCAAGGGACCCTCACCACCATCAAGGACTTTACCTTGAAGAACCCTTGTGTAAAAAAAGCATGGAAGAGAAAAATGTGCATTAATATGCTTGTTTTAAAATATAAACAGTTCTCCACTAGCAAGAAATTCCAAAAACATTCTAGAGGCTGCATTACTTGAGGTAGCCTTTGAGCCATAATTAGAGATAACTCGGCATATATAGAGGATTCAAAGCTCTTTAATACCGCTTCCAATGAAAGGGAATTTTCAATAGGCCACTGTTTACAAGAGGGATCTTCACAAGTTCCTAAAAGGCAACTTGTAATCAGCTGGCAAGGATGTCAGTCAGAAAGCTTGGTCTAGACTGTGATGATCCTAGAACCAGTAACAGGTAAATAAATTGAAAGCAATGATAAATTTGGATTCGTTTATTATCACTATTTTATATTAATGATAAAGGATTTTCTACAATCTAAAATTTATGTAACAGGTACAGAAAACCTTTAGCAGGACAATGTTCAAAGAGGCAATGTCTTTTTCTTACTAAGTATTCTGCACCTCAATGACACTTGCATAACATGGTACTACATTTGATGATGCATCACTCTTGGTTTCATACCCTGAGTGACACACACATACCATAATGTTAGAACAGTAGTAATTGTCACTCCAGAGTAAACCCCTATCATTGGTTACACATTTAATAACTGTCCTAACGAGTTTACAATAACCATAAAGTGAAATTCCTCATGAGAATCTAGGTACACCACCAGTAATAATAACAGAAACAGTGCAACACTTACAGTACCTCAGAGGCAAGTAGAAATGACATGTTTGATAAGTATATACTATACTGCCTTTAAAACTATGCAACATCTCAGTGGTCAAATGGACAGCAATCATTTCATGGTTCCCTTGTAACTTGTACTTTTTTTTAACAACAATCATTACCTATTATAATAGTGTGATCAAAAGAAGGCAACAATCACATTGCTCACTGAAATAGCTTTCTTACAAGAAGCACATGGATATTATAATTCAAATGACCCCACACTAGTTTACACTTCCTTGCAATCTGTATGTTTAACAGGTAACTCATCTTCAAGTTCCACATCAACCAAGTCAACCTATTCCCCAAAACTAGTACTGTATCTTATCACTTCTTTAAGACTTCATGAAATTTTAATATTACATCAAGCTGATACTTAAGCTGATATGTTAAGGGAATTTTCAGCTTGGTACTAGCAAAATCAAAGAATTTTCTGGAATTAGGCTTGAGATTTTTTGGACTCCAAGACAATTTTTTAACTTCCTTTCATTGAATTTCAGTATTAATACCATTAAAACAATATACTGTACTTGATGCACTAAGGCAACATAAAGCAAGTCCAGCAAGAGACAAGAATCACAGTAGTATAATGACAGTAGCATTGCCGTACGTGGTTTCTGGCCTGAATCAGTGAATAGTGAGCTAACTATTTGTCTAAACAAATGCTCTTGCTCTTAGTCTACACACCACTGCAATCTTTATCACCTGATTCCCATTTAAAACTTATGATAGCTGAAGTAGAACATAACAACAGCTCTGAAGCATGGTACAAAATGTGCATCACATGTTCTCACATACAATTTAGTGCAACTTTGTCCCAAGATTGCATGGAATTCTGCCAGGCTGGAATGAGCTGCTTTTTTTTTAGCCAGGCTGGTTAGGCTTGCTAAGTCATTTGTCATTAAGATTAGGGTGAGATTAGGGTGATGTTATGAAGTTTGTTGCCCAATTAATAATTTATTAAAAAAAATTAAATTAACCAAACTATTGATAAGAATGTTGCAGCAAGGAGAAGGCTGAAGGCAGCGATGTCATGTCTGAGGGCAATGTGTGGTGTGAATATAATGCAGAGAATCCACAGTTTGGAGATTAGGAGGAGGTGTGGGATTACCAAAACTATTATCCAGAGAGCTGAGGAGGGGTTACTGAGATGGTTTGGACATGTAGAGAAGATGGAATGAAATAGAATGACTTCAAGATTATAAAATTCTGTAGTGGAGGGAAGGGGTAGGGGTCAGCCTAGGAAAGGGTGGAGGGAGGGAGTAAAGGAGGTTTTGCGTGCGAGGGGCTTGGACTTCCAGCAAGCGTGCGTTAGTGTGTTAGACAGGAGTGAATAGAGACAAATGGTTTTCAGGTCTTGATGTGCTGTTGGAGTGTAAGCAAGGTAACATTTATGAAGGGGTTCAGGGAAACTGGCAGGCCAGACTTGAGTCCTGGAGATGGGAAGTACAGTGTCTGCACTCTGAAAGAGGGGTGTTAATGTTGCAGTTTTATAACTGTAGTGTAGGCATGCCTGTGGCAAGACAGTGATGGAGTGAATGATGAAAGTTTCTCTTTTTTGGGCCACCCTGCCTTGGTGGGAAATGGCCGATGTGTTAATAAAATAAAAAATTGGTAAGAAAGGTATGAACAATAACTAAAAATCTACATGACTTCTAAAGAAATTATTCTTAGTTAAAACAAAGTAAATATTTCCATTCAAAAGCATCATTTCTTGTATGTTTCTCTAATGAAGAAATGTTTAATTATCTAAGCACCTTGAGATTCACCTGTCGTATGCTCAGTTTACAGCCATTAATTAACAGGCTCAAGTAATCCAAAAGTATTGACAAAGGCAGAAAAATACCTATAGTGTGTAATGGTATCACTGTTTTCACTAATGACTTTCTCTTCCACTTGAAATTTATTTCTGCAAAGTCTGAATTACAAAGCTAAGTAAGCAATCTTGCATAAATTACGATTATAGCTTTCCTGGAGAGAGTCTTCCCGGTAAAAACAATTACTAAAAAAACATTTCATTAAATTTATGATAGACTACTGTAATCTATTTTTTCAGTCTGTTTTATGTATAGTGTGAAATGAAATGGATCATGTATGCAAAAATGCATGTCCAACTCATCTGAGTATCTAGACTTCATTATGAAGAAGCATGGATGACAAAAAGGCTTCAGTGTAATGATGAAAATTAGTAAACACATCTTTTCATTTTAATTCTGAAACCATGCCTGTTAATTTGTATTATACAGGAAAGTATTGCATTTCATAATAAGTACAATATTCAACACTGAATTTATATATATCAGACTCATTGTGTAGCTATGTAAGGTATGTATTATCAAACAAGACCAGCATCTTTGGCCAACCCATAGAAGATCGAATTCTTATTATTTAGGAGGGTTGCAGGGGTGTCAAATTCTTTTATCTCTCCTCTGTCCAGCACTACAATCCTAAAAAAAAAAAACAATATTTTATTACATAATATAACTGATGTAAAATTACATCTATTAAAAACACAATAATGTCATTTTTAAATTACCTAAGTAATTAATTGCATGTATAGACTCGCCTAGCTGTAACTCATCACTGTGAAGTATAAGCTAGGAATATGGATTCCTGTTTAGGTTTGGACAGAAGGATGTCAGGAATCAAAAGTAAGTCCAATAAAAATGATGCCCTATGGTTATTATCAAATCAATAGATTTTTTTTTTTTTTTTTAACATGTCGGTCATCTCCCACTGAGGCAGCGTGACCCAAAAAGAAAGAAAATCCCCAAAAAGAAAATACTTTCATCATCATTCAACACTTTCACCTCACTCATACATAATCAGTCTTTGCAGAGGCACTCAGATACCTGCCAGCCAGTTTCTGCCCTTCTTCTGAACTGTGCTCATGGGAATACACACACAAGCACTCCAATGCGTCTGATTAGCTGAACACACAGAATGTTTGCATCCTTGCTTTCTTAAAATCAGATTGTTAATAGCAGTATGAATACACCAGCAGTGAGCCCATGCAGAATACTTTACTTGAATAGTCCCAGCCAAATTGTGGAGTCCTTGTGGTATACATTTTTTACATCTGCAAGAAATGTTTTCCCCGGAGTCTACCGAAATGCCACTGAGGCAGCCAAGATGAAGTAAGTGGGGAAAACCTGAAACACTTCATCAACAGAAGCACTGTGTGTGAATAGTACCTAGTCTGTATGTTCAAACTGCCACCTCAAGAGGTATGGAGGCTTAGTACATGAATGGGAGTTCACCTTTTCACTTTGTCTCTCATAGATCTGTTATTGATGCCAGTGTCACGCAGATCTTTGTTTTAAGCACAGTGCCCTCACACATGCTGCAAACTAAATTCTGGCCTAGATATGAGAGAATGGCTCTATGCAGTGAGTGTGCACAGTATAAAAAATATCCTGCCCCAAGTGGTGTATGATATACAAAGCAAAAATGGCAACTTTGAGGTGTTTCCAAGAATGTTTTTTATGAATTTACTGGCCGTTTCTTGGTATCAAATGATAGTATGGAAGACATGTTACAGGAGTAAAGATGATTTTGGTACATTTCCAGACTGGCAGTAGCTAGAAACTGCACTCAAAGCAGCAGATTTTTTTTTTCTTAACACATCGGCCAATTCCTATCAAGGCAGGGTGGCCCGAAAGAGAAAAACTTTCATCATCATTCACTCCATCACTGTCTTGCCAGAGGGGTGCTTTACACTACAGTTATAAAACTGCAACATAAACACCCCTCCTTCAGAGTGCAGACACTGTACTTCCAATCTCCAGGACTCAAGTCTGGCCTGCCGGTTTCCCTGAATCCCTTCATAAATGTTATTTTGCTCACACTCCAACAGCACATCAAGTATTAAAACCATTTGTCTCCATTCCCTCCTATCAAATACGCTTATGCATGCTTGCTGAAAGTCCATGCCCCTTGCACACAAAGCCTCCTTTACCCCCTCCCTCCAACCCTCCCTAGGCCAGCCCCTACCCTGTCTTCCCTCCACTACAGATTTATACACTCTCAGAGTCATTCTGTTTTGTTCCATTCTCTCTACATGCCTGAACCACCTCAACAACCCCTCTTCAGCCCTCTGGATAATAGTTTTGGTAATCCCACACCTTTTCCTAATTTCCAAACTACGAATTCTCTGCATTATATTCACACCACACATTGCCCTCAGACATGACATCTCCACTGCCTCCAGCTGCCTCCTTGTTGCAACATTCATCACCCATGCTTCACACCCATACAATAGTGTTGGTACAACTATACTCTCACACATTCCCCTTTTTGCTTCCACGGACAAAGTTCTTTGTCTCCACAGACTCCTAAGTGCACCACTCACCCTTTTTCCCTCTTCAATTCTATGATTCACCTCATCCTTCATAGACCCATCTGCTGACACGTCTACTCCTAAATATCTGAATACATTCATCTCCTCCTCTTTGTTCATCTGCTATCCTACTCTCCGCCTTACTTTTAATTCTTTCAATAATAACTCTACTATACACTTACCAGGTATACTCAACAGACTTCTTTTCCTATAATTTTTGCACTCTCTTTTATCCCCTTTGCCTTTATACAAAGGAACTATGCATGCTCTCTGCCAATCTCTAGGTACCTTACCCTCTTCCATACATTTATTAAATAATAGCACCAACCACTCCAAAACTATATCCCCACCTGCTTTTAACATTTCTATCTTTATCCCATCAATCCCAGCTGCCTTACCCACTTTCATTCTACCCACTGCCTCATGAACTTCCCCCACACTCACAACTGGCTCTTCCTCACTCCTACAAGATGGTATTCCTCCTTGCCCTATACAAGAAATCACAGCTTCCCTATCTTCGTCAACATTTAACAATTCCTCAAAATATTCCCTCCATCTTCCCGATACCTCTAACTCTCCATTTAATAACTCTCCTCTCCTATTTTTAACTGTCAAATCCATTTGTTCTTTAGGCTTCCTCAATTTATTAATCTCACTCCAAAACTTGTTCTCATTTTCAACAAAATTTGTTGATAACATCTCACACACTCTCGTTTGCTCTCTTTTTACATTGTTTCACCACTCTCTTAACCTCTCTTTTTCTCTCCATATACTCTTCCCTCCTTGCATCACTTCTACTTTGTAAAAGCCTCTCATATGCTAACTTTTTCTCCCTACTACTCTCTTTACATCATTCCACCAATCACTCTTCTTCCCTCCCGTACCCACTTTCCTGTAACCACAAACTTCTGCTGAACACTAACACTACATTCTTAAACCTACCCCATACATCTTTGACCCCATTGCCTATACTTTCACTAGCCCATCTATTCTCCAATAGCTGTTTATATCTTACCCTAACTGCCTCCTCTTTTAATTTACACACCTTCACCTCTCTCTTACTTGCTGCTTCTATTTTCCCCGTATCCCATCTACCTTTTACACTCACTGTAGCAACAACTAAAAAGTGATTTGATATATCTGTGGCCCCTCTATAAACATGTACATCCTGAAGTCTACTCAACAGTCTTTTATCTACCAATACATAGTCCAACAAACTACTGTCATTATGCCCTACATCATATCTTGTATACTTATTTATCCTCTTTTTCTTAAAATACGTATTACCTATAACTAAACCCCTTTCTATACAAAGTTCAATCAAAGGGCTCCCATTATCATTTACACCTGGCACCCCAAACTTACCTACCGCACCTTCTCTAAATGTTTCTCCTACTTTAGCATTTAGGCCCCCTACCACAATTACTCTCTCACTTGGTTCAAAGGTTTCTATACATTCGCTTAACATCTCCCAAAATCTCTCTCTCTCCTCTACACTCTTCTCTTCTCCAGGTGCACACACACTTATTATGACCCACTTTTCACATCTGACCCTTATTTTAATCCACATAATCCTTGAATTTACACATTTATATTCCCTCTTCTCCTTCCATAACTGATCCTTCAATATTATTGCTACCCCTTCTTAGCACTAACTCTCTCAGATACTCCTGACTTAATCCCATTTATAACTCGCCTACCCCCTTCAGCTTTGTTTCGATTAGGGCCAGGACATCCATCTTCGTTTCATTCATAACATCAGCAATCATCTCTTTCTTATCATCCGCACTACATCCACGCACATACAAGCATCCCAGTTCTATAAAATCTTTCTTCTTCTCATTTTTAGTAAATGTGTACAGGAGAAGGGGTTACCAGCCCATTGCTCCTGGCATTTTAGTCACCTCATAGGACATTCATGGCTTATGAAGGAAAGATTCTTTTCCACTTCCCCATGGACAATAGAGAGAAAAAAAAAAACAAGAACAAGAGCTATTAAGAAAAAGAAGAAAAACCCTAGATGTGTGTATGTATATATATGCATGTGCATGCCTGTGTAGTGTGACCTAAGTGTAAGTAGAAGTAGCAAGATGTACCTGTTATCCAGTGTGTTTATGAGACAGAAAAAAAGACACCAGCAATCCTACCAACATGTAAAACAGTTACAGGTTTCTGTTTCAGAGTCACCTGGCAGGACGGTAGTACCTCCCTGGGTGGTTGCTGTCTACCAACCTACTACAGATTTATTATTACAATCAAAACCAAGCACTAAATCACCAGGGTCATACATCACTGTATAAGTAATAGAAATACTCGAATTTTGATGATTTTTCCTGAGAAAGGGTAAAGTTTTCTTCCCCTTGGTCTGTTTTATGGGTTTTTACTAGGTATGCTTCAATTACTGGGATGCCCTAAACTATAACCAATCATTTTTAGATATATTTTACTTAATTCTTTCAATTTAATATTCTCACCTGAATTTGCCTCATGAAACAATTTTCATTCTTTCTATACAGTATACAGAATTCTTTGATAAATGTTTCATGATTTGAATGTTTACAGTTGCAAAGTCTGAGAAAAGATTCTGTACAAGTACTCCTCAATGACCGAGTTCTGTTCCTAAGAGTAGGTTGGTAAGAGAATTTGTCATCAAGCGAGGAGCCACCCCTTACTGATATTTCAGGCATACTGTACTAGTAGTGGGTTGTGTCAACCATCTTTAGATATTGTTTTAATGTCACCTTTCCATTATTTATAACATTTTCAGTACAGCCTCTCCTCACTTAACAATGTATTCGTTTACCGACGCCTCGGACTTACAACAGGCTCTCTGACCAGTATACATACCTAAATAGTGTATATTAGTGCAGAATTCCTCTATTCTGTTTATAACAATATACAGTACATTACTGTATAAGCATTTAAGAATATACCAGAAATGTTATAAATGGTGCAAAGATGACATTAAAACAATATCAAAGATGGCTGATACAAACCCACTACCATTATAGTATGCTCCTCACTTAGCGACGAATTCGTTTACCGACGTGATCTTAGGAACAGAACTCCATCGTTAAGTGAGGAGAGGCTGTATATTAAAAATAGAACTGGGCATTAAAAAACAAGAAAAAAGTAAAATATACAGTACACTGGTAAGAGAGCTGGTCGTAAGTACAAGCGGTCGTTAAACAGGTATGTTGTTAAGTGAAGAGTACCTGTACAAGGCATCATTACAGTAAAGGGAGTTCCAGAGAAAATATTTTCTGTATATAGTAAACAAAGTAGATGCATCTGATATTTCTTACCTTGTTGAGTCCATAATAGTGTTGAGTCTGTGGGCAATGGTAATGACAGTACAACTGGCAAACTCTCGTCGTATGGTCTGCTGAATGAGATCATCAGTCTCCAAGTCAACTGCAGCTGTGGCTTCATCCAAGACCAGAACACGTGTTTTACGTAGAATAGCTCGAGCAAGACAGACTAACTGTCTCTGACCAACACTGAAATAGAGAAAACAACTCATACCATGAGAAAGGAGCTATTAAATAACTTATACAGTAATAATACAGGCCATATTAAAGGGTTAAATTTGGTATACTATTATTATTATAATCAAAAAAGAAGCGCTAAGCCACAAGGACTATACAGCATTAAATTTGGTATACTGCATCTTGACAAGTGTTAAAATTGAATGCTACACGTAGCAGCTTTCCTGCCTCATAGCCTCTGGTTTTCCTTAGTTATCATATTTAATAAAGCAACTTTACTATCTCACATATACATTAAGTAAATATTATATCAATAGCTGGAGAATGTTGTTCTAAGCTATTAAACCTCTATAAACTGACAATCTCCTGCATCCACAGTTGGAAACAGGCAAGCCTTTTTACTACACGAGGCTCTCTCAAGTGAAAGCATGAGGAGGGGGAAAGGAACCTAGTAATGACTAATATTCCTTATAAACTGAAGATCATACAAATCTTGTAAGCTAGTGGGTCCACCACCTTACACCACTATAGAGTCTGTATTTAGGACATCTTCCTGCAATAGGCATCATCATTTGTAATTGTAAAATGCAATATTGTCTGAACAGTGATGCATTCTGCTGCAAAGAGGGGTCTTGATCACATTTAAAGATAACTAAAGCTAATTAAAGTTTTGCAAAAAAATCTCAGTTAATACTAGCTTTGTGACTCAACAGTATTCTATCAAAATACATTAACATGTTAGCAGTTTTCCCATTAAGGTAGGAAAACCCAAAGAAGAAAACACATCATCCTTTCTCTAATTCTGTAATTTCCTATTCAACTAACGTGGCTCCATAACAGGGTAAGTTCACTTTGGATGTGTAGTTGGCATACATATTTTATTTACAGCCATATTGAACAAGGAATGAAGTACTTGTTACTCTGTCAATCACTGATCTGAGAGTAGTTGGGAAAAGGTAGATAAATGGTATATGGATTTACACAGACACAAAGTTTGTGGTCTGGGTGCAATTTACGCATTGGTGATTTCACCCAATTTGAGTCCTATTTTAAGCCAATTCCACTATTCCAATCGACCAAATTCCTTGCTATTTCACTGGTATGTCTTCAGTTCTTTCAACTGGGCACAATAAGCCAGGACGATAATAAACTGCACGATTAGGGTCACAAGTGACATGGTCCTTAGGCAAATAGATAAATTAAAACCTAACAAATCCCCAGGTCCTGATGAACTGTATGCAAGGGTTCTAAAGGAATGTAAAGAGGAGCTTAGCAAACCAATGGCTAATCTTTTCAACATATCACTACAAACTGGCATGGTGCCAGATAAGTGGAAAATGGCAAATGTGATACCTATTTTCAAAGCAGGTGACAGGTCCTTAGCTTCGAACTATAGACCAATAAGCCTAACCTCCATAGTGGGAAAATTTATGGAATCAATAATTGCCGAGGCAGTTCGTAGCCACCTTGAAAAGGATAAATTAACCAACGAATCTCAGCATTTGGGTTTTACAAAGGGGCGTTTTCCCGCCTTATGAATTTATTAACTTTTTTCACTAAGGTATTTGAGGAGGTTTGATCATGGGAAATGAATATGATATTGTGTATATGGACTTCAGTAAGGCTTTTGACAGGGTCCCACATCAGAGACTATTGGGGAAAAAAATTAAGGCACATGGAATAGGAGGAAAAATTTTTTTCCCCTGGATAGAGGCATGGTTGACAATAGGCAGCAGAGAGTTTGCATAAATGGGGAGAAATCAGAGTGGGGAAGCGTCACGAGCAGTGTTCCACAGGGGTCAGTGTTGGGCCCCCTGCTGTTCAACAAATCTACATAAACGACATAGATGAGGGCATAAAGAGCGACATCAGCAAGTTTGCCAATGACACCAAAATAGGCCGTCGAATTCATTCTGACGAGGACATTAGAGCACTCCAGGAAGATTTGAATAGACTGATGCAGTGGTCGGAGAAGTGGCAGATGCAGTTTAATATAGACAAATGCAAAGTTCTAAATGTTGGACAGGACAATAACCATGCCACATATAAACTAAATAATGTAGATCTTAATATTACGGATTGCGAAAAAGATTTAGGAGTTCTGGTTAGCAGTAATCTGAAACCAAGACAACAGTGCATAAGTGTTGGCAATAAAGCTAATAGAATCCTTGGCTTCACATCAAGAAGCATAAATAATAGGAGTCCTCAGGTTGTTCTTCAACTCCATACATCCTTGGTTAGGCCTCATTTAGATTATGCTGCACAGTTTTGGTCACCGTATTACAGAATGGATATAAATGCTCTGGAAAATGTACAAAGGAGGATGACAAAGTTGATCCCATGTATCAGAAACCTTCCCTATGAGGATAGACTAAGGGCCCTGAATCTGCACTCTATAGAAAGATGTAGAATTAGGGGGGATATGATTGAGGTGTATAAATGGAACACAGGAATAAATAAAGGGGATGTAAATAGTGTGCTGAAAATATCTAGCCTAGACAGAACTCGCAGCAATGGTTTTAAGTTGGAAAAATTCAGATTCAGGAAGGATATAAGAAAGTACTGGTTTGGTAATAGAGTTGTGGATGAGTGGAACAAACTCCCAAGTACAGTTATAGAGGCCAGAACGTTGTGTAGCTTTAAAAATAGGTTGGATAAGTACATGAGTGGATGTGGGTGGGTGTGAGTTGGACCTGACAGCTTGTGCTACCAGGTCGGTTGCCATGTTCCTCCCTTAAGTCAATGTGACCTGACCCGACTAGGTTGGGTGCATTGGCTTAAGCCGGTAGGAGACTTGGACCTGCCTCGCATGGGCCAGTAGGCCTGCTGCAGTGTTCCTTCGTTCTTATGTTCTTATGTTCAACTATTAGAATTACCTTATAAGTGCACAGAAGTTGGTAATTTGACCAATTTTAAAAAAAAAACAATATAAAAATTCTATTTTGAAAATAGTCCAAAATAAATGATATTGACATAACAAGCACTAAAACATTTCCTCTGTTCATTAATCATGTCCCAAGGCCTATGAATTAATAATTGTGAGGGGAAAAGTTCAATAGATAGGAGTAGTGAGGGAGTATATAGTAACAATAGTTTCATTGCCGGCTACTTGTTAAGGTAGGGTAAGTCAAGCTCCCACTATTCCCGCCTTTTTTCCCCCCTCCCATAAAGTGATAGTTTGACTGCCGGCTGCTTGTTAAGGTAGTGTCAGTCTAGCGCCCACTATCCCTTCCCCTCCCTCTTCCCCCCCCCGCGAAAGGTGACGTGTGGGGCTCTGGTCAAACAGTAAATCACTCGACTCACAGCTCCCAACACTACTGTAAGTACATGCCTGCTCTGTATTCTAGTGGATTTATTGGTTGAAAGCTTCACTTTTGACCAATATTAAACTTAGTCCTTTCAGTCTTGCTCTAAGTTGACTGTTGTAATAATCACCACATCTTTTAGGTATTGTACTTATCATGGAGAGTGATTTCTTAAGCAGTGGGTAACCTGTCTATCTTTCCAGCTTGGATGACAGAGAGGGTCACCTGCCAATCAACGAGCAGAACTGATGGAGATGGACTAACGTCCTGAGACTTCCCCTTTTTGGATTTAATTACCTGTGCACCTGTATGAAATTGCAGGACGTAACCCCTCATCATTGCAGCGGTAAAGAACCTGCTTTCCTGTCATCGGGATATAATACTCAAGGCTATACGGTGAAGAACGAACCGGTGGGTTGTAACCAACACCCGAGACCCCCCCCATCATCAGCAACTGCTACGATTTCAACACTCAGTGTCACCAACACCAGACACCCCTATATATATATATATTAGCGTTGAATTCAGTTATCATTTATATTTTTCATTTTTCATTTTCTTTAATGTAGGATTAATATTTCATATTTAAGTGTTTTATATTTTATATGTTCTATATAATAAAGTGTTTATGTTTGTCTGTTATTATTTCTTTTTCTATTCATTAATTTTCCTGAGGAGGAGCCAGCTTTGGTAATACTGTCTGAAGTTGTTACAGAGCTGAGTAAGCCTTCACAAAAAAAAATCAGAGATTTATCCTATTTCTCAGATAATATATATCCAGTAATGATTGGTCATGGTTTACAGCATCCCAATAATTGCATTACACCTATTAAAATCCCATAAAACAAATGAGGGGGTATAGGGAAGCCTAATCCATCCTCAGGACTAACATCAAAAATTAAATACGTATTTACTCTATTATGATCACAATTTCAAGGTACTTCTGGTCAGAAAACCATCCAAAATCATCTGTATTTCAGTAGTATATGTTATATTTATGTTATTTTTATATAGCTGAACTTGAGTCCTGGAAATGGGAAGTACAATGCCTGCACTCTAAAGGAGGGGTTTGGGATATTAGCAGTTTGGAGGGATATGTTGTGTATCTTTATACGTACAGTAGGACCCCACTTATACGGTGGGTTAGGTTCCAGGCTGTCGCTGGAAAGCAGACATCGCCGGAAGGCAGAACGCCATTTTTTTCCATTTATAAATGCATATAAATACCAGACAACAAGTTTACACTAAATTATATTAAGTTAGTAATAGAACCAGGCATTAAAAACACACAAAGTAAAATACATTCACAGTAAATTCATTACTTATCTTAAAGTATTTGTAATCTTAATGTAGGGAGAGAGGTGAGTAGTACTTATTTGTAGGAAGTCAGGTGCAGGTAGCCCAGGTGTAGGTAGCCCTGGCTCCCCGTCTCATACTTAATATACGATATTTAAAACATCCCAGAGAGGTAAAATACACATACAGTACACTCATTATTTACCTTAAAATATGTGTAGTCTTAATATAGGAAGAGAGGTGAGTAGTATTTATTTGTAGGAAGTCAGTGTAGGTAGCCGGTAGGTGTAGCCCGCCTGGGCTACACCTACCGGCTACCTACAATGTGGCCCAGAGCCATATTATTAACATTGACATGCCTTGTTCACTGAATTTAATCATTTCTAACAACTACCTTTAGATGCCATCATA